GGGACTGTTCCAACCAAACTGGGACATATCCTCTCCCAATAGATGACCCTAAAGAGTGTTCTGGAAGATTGGATAAAGTTAGTCCACCAAAGCTAGAGAGAGAGAGAGAAAGAGAGTTAATACCCTGGTGGGTAAAGCACTAAAAATCTTTTAAAAATTTTTTTAAATATTTTATTTATTTCTGAGAGAGGGAGAGAAAGAGAGAGAGAGAGAGAGGGAGAGACAGAGAGAGAGACTGTGATCAGGGGAGGGTCAGAGAGAGAGAGGGAGACACAGAATCTGAAGCAGGTTCCAGGCTCTGAGCTATCAGCACAGAGCCCAACGTGGGGCTCAAACCCACAAACTGTGAGATCATGAACTGAGCCTCAGTCAGACGTTTAACTGACTGAGCCATCTAGGCGCCCCAACACTAACAATCTTATTGGGCCTGTCAGACTCACTCAGGGAGCTGATGACCATCATGGGGAGGTAGGAACACTCTTGCCCCTAAGAATTTCTTTGAATAAAGTGAATCAGGGTGGGTGAAAATAAATGCTAAACTGGCCAGTATTGTTAGGGCTGATAGGTGGTTGGATGGGTATATGAGGAAGGAGTGGCTATAGTGAAGCATTATCAAAAGAATATGACAAAGAACATCAGAGACAAAGAACACAAGACCCGGCCCCTAAAGCCTTAAGATGCAGTGGCTGGTTGGGTACCCCTTCCTCCCCGGGCAGATCCCTGGGGGCTCAGTCCATTGTCCCTCTTATCAAGGGCAGTTCCTGCAGGTCCAGCTTTTTACCTGCAGGGGGCAGAAGAAGGCTTCCTCTTCTGGGAATCCATTTGCTTCCTTCTGCTGCAATTGGCAGAAAGTGGCCCAACCTGGACGTCTGAGGCCCATCATGCTTCCTGCCCATGGGCCAAGCAGGCCACAGTCACATGCCTTACATGCTCTGACATCCAATCAGAAGGCAGGACCCCAGATGCTGGCTGTCTCTCAAGATTTCCAATTCAAGGCCAGGTGGAAGGAACAGCGCCCGCCAGGAACTGAGGAATCCACAGAGGTAAATTCTACTCACCTTCACCTGAGTCTTCCTCTCTCCACTATGAGTTGGCATCCTGGGTCTTCACATGGCCATTGCTTTTCTCCTCAGACCACCTGGTCTGGGGAGTAATTAACAGAGAACCAGGAGCATAAAGAAATAGAAATCGTCTTTGAAATAGAGAAGTTTTTAAAAATGAACGACCGGCATCGTCCCCACAGAACTTTCCTTCAGCTTCTCCTTCAAGTTAAGTCTGGGTGTTGGTGAGTAAGAGTCTTCCTGATCTCAGATATCCAGCCTCAATTGGGGAAAAAACGATCTCCAATATTTTAGCTAGTCCTGAGCCAGGTAGTAAGTCGTGTTACTCTAGAGATTATTTTAACAGTCGTGCTGGGAATTACTATATTTCCAGTGACCTCCTGTCCCTCCCGCTCCTTCCGGCCACAGCCCTCCCTGGGCCGAACCCTCTCCTTTGTCCTGAGTAAATGGACCCATCTCCCCATTGCAGATGAAAACCAGAATGTATTTCATATTCTGTTTGTTAACTTTCTCTTTGGTACATTTTAAGCTTCTCAGGACTGCTTTCTTTGCCTCCTCTAAACACCCTAAAATGAAATTCTGGTGCCTGGTTTTAAAAAGTCAGCCCCTCAAATACCAACAAAATAAATCTCACCAAGATGGGGAGCACACATTCCCTCTTATCCCACAGTTGCAGAAAATCAGACACGATTCTGCTTCATAGAGTCGATTCTGATAAAGTGGTAAATCAAGAACATTCAGTCCCACTGGTGTGAAAACATGCAATCCTGTTCTATGTTATATTTATATCATCTTTAGAAGTGTAATTTGTGCAAAGGAATCTTTTAAGACATTCAGCCACCAGCAATTATTGCTATATGACCAATAGAATGTAATCTATAAACCCGACAATTCTGCAACTCTGGCGGGCCATTGATAAGTTATTACTCTGAAAACAATACTGAAATTAACCTTTTCCATTTTCAAAAGGCATAAATTCTTGTGAGACTGTTGTTTGTTTGTTAGACCTTTGGGACTCTCTTGTCCTTTCAAGCATGAAGGTAAAATCCCATTTCTTGTATGACTTTCTTTTTCAAAGAGTTTTAGGGTCTGTGATAATTTGAGGAGCACCTGGGTGGCTCAGCTGGTTGAGCATCTGACTCTTGATTTCAGCTCAGGTTATGATCTCTTGGTTCATGGGTTCGAGCCCCAAGTTGGGCTCTGCACTGATGGTGTGGAGCCTGCTTGAGATTCTCTCTCTCTACGTTTCTCTCTGCCTCTCTCCCACTCGTGTTCTCTTTGTCTCTCTCAAAATAACTAAATAAACTTAAAAAATTATCACAGGCCTTTATTTATTTATTTAAACGTTTATTTATTTTTGAGGCAGAGAGAGACAGAGCATGAGCAGGGGAGGGTCAGAGAGAGAGGGAGACACGGAATCCAAAGCAGGCTCCAGACTCTGAGCTAGCTGTCAGCACACAGCCCAAAGCAGGGCTCGAACTCATGAACCACGAGATCATAACCTGAGTGGAAGTCGGACGCTTAACCGACTAAGCCCCCCAGGCACCCCATCACAGACCTTAAAAATTTTTTTTTTTTAGTTCTCTGGGTTGAGCACAAGCAAGAGAAGGGCAGAGAGGGAGGGAGATAGAGAATCCCAAGCAGGTTCTGCACTGTTAGCACGGAGCCGACACAGGGCTTGATCCTGCAAACTACGAGATCAGCACCTGAGCTGAAATCAAGAGCTGGACGCTTAACCAACTGAGCCACCCAGGTGCCCCAAGGGTCTGTGGTCATTGGAATTAACAAGACGAATCCTTGCCCTGTGATCTACCAGAAAAGATAGGATTCAGCCTTGGGGGAAGAGCTGGAAAAAGAAAGAGGGGAAAGCAGCCTAACCCCGAGTTTAATTAACTTGAGGGGATTTGGAATTTGTGACCCACAGCACCCCTTCTGTGGGGGGTGATATAAGGTGATATTTGGGGTCACCTTCTCCCCTGCGTCCTTATTACTTGGGAGCCAATACAAATTCCCAAGTTCAACAGGAAGTTAGTTGCCTTCTCAAGTCAAAGGCTCCCCAGGAAGAGGGGGTGACATGAGGCTCAGAGGAAAGGAAGCTGCCAGAGCTAAACCTTGGATCTGGGAGGAGGATCAAAGCAAGAACACAAAGGCCTGGAGGAAGGGAGGAGAGCAGTGGAGGTGAGGGACAAATAAAGGAAGAAGTAACAAGAAGGAGGAGTACACATGACCAGGGACCTGAGCGGTGTGCATGGGCCCAAATTAGAGGTTCCTTCTGAAATGGGGGTGAGAGGGATTGCCAACCAAGCTCCCCCTTGGACTAAGGACGGCAGAGGAATGCTCCAGGAACCCAGAGGGATGACCCAGAAGGAGCCTGGTCATGTGGGATGACCCAGGAGAGCCTGAAAGGAGCTGCTTATTACTCTCACAAGATTACAAAATATTACAGAGGCATACCATTTTTAGTATGTTTTGTATCTTTACATTTTTCTCACTCTGCTATTAGATGACTGTGTTACAGCCCTGTGTGTTTTGTTGCCTGGCGGGGGGGTGGGGGTGGGGGGGGAGAAGTATCCCGCAAAAGAAGGGGAAGCAAGAAAAGTCAGGTCCCCAAGACTGGTAGCCGAAAAGTACTTGGCAAAGGGACAGTGGGGCTGGAGGAAGGGGGATCTGAGGGTTAGCATGGAAGAGAAAGGCAAGAAGCTGGCTACGAGACTTTCCACCCACAGAGTCAAGATTCAACCCCACGGCTAGGCAGTGTGTTAGCCATCAGGGATGGTGAGCCAAGTAGCCACAGTCCCTGCCTCAATGGAGCCTCCTAGCTGGCCTAATGCACGGCTTGGGAGTGTCCCTAAGGGTTTCTGGAGAGCCTCTTGAAAGAAGAGTGGACCAAGAGCACTGGAGTGGAGAGGAGCCATTCTCAAAATGGCGGCCTTTGCAGCTAGCAGAACAGGGAGAGAGACTAAGGAAAACTATTCGACAAAGCCATCACGTGTTGTAACTCTGAACCCCAAAGGTATGCAGGCGTGCCTAGATGGGGCAGACGCACACACGGGTGTGCCCTACATGGAGCTGGAGTCCATGCCCAGCATGTGACCCTGCTGCAGATTCACCCCACAGCTGCCTGCCCCAACCCATCATCTCTCCTTTCAGATCACAGCGGGGCTGCTCTGAGCTGGCTCTGAAGGCAGCAGGGCTCCCCACCGGGCAGCCCTCCCTGGTCAGAGGGAGTCTGTGTCCTTCACATACTGACCTTCCCCATACCTGCCTCCTTTCGGGACAGGAGCATTGACCCCCAAAAGTGCTTCCTGATCCTACTGAGCCTTGGGGGAGTGTCCCTCCTGGAGGCACAGGAAGACAGCCTCTTCCCCCAGCCATGGCCTCTGGCGTCTGTCTAAAGAAGCTCAAGTCTGGGCCTGACCCCAGACCTGCCCCAGCCTGACCCGGCTGGACAAGCAGCTGCTAGGGCTTGTGGGCGGGATTCAAAAGACAACCTCAGCAAGTGCCCCCACCCATCCTGGATGAGGCGAGAGGAGGAAGGAGAAGCTCAAGTTCATGGATCGCAAACTTCAGTTTCTACAAGAGGCAGTCTGGTAACATAAATAAGTGGAAAGGTCAGGGAGGGAGAGATATGGACCATTAAAGGTGACAGCCTTAACTTACAAGGAGCCATCCTACCGTGTGATACGTGCATGAGGCAAAAGTTAGTTTTAAAGAGTACACAAGAGGCAAGGGTCAGCGCCTTGCCCACCCCTCACGCCTCCCGAGGGCAAATCGTGGTCTGGGAGACGGTTTTTCCTCTGAATTGTGGTGGCCAAACTATTCCTGAATCAGACAGCAGGTGGCGCTCAGCCCAGAGAATTAGAAAAAAAGGAACTGTGGCGAATTACTTAACTCATTTCCAGTAACTTCTCCCTCCTCCCCCACAGGGCCTTCCCCAGCCCCACCTTCTGTTCTCCGGCGTGGGCCAAGTCCTTCCCGATGTCCAGTTCCAGATGGCTGGTCTCAGAGTGGGGAAACTACCTCTGGAGAAGCCCCCGCTCCACAAGCTGCTGGGCAAGATGTGAGTGTGCTGGTGCAGAGGCCTGGAGGAGAGGAAAATGGCGGGGGTGGGGCCGGAGGGACCCAGGACATGCACACACACACACACACACACACACACACACACACACACACACTGAGCCAGTTAATGCCCAAGGGAGCTGGAATTTGCCTCTAGGCTCTAACAGGCTTTCCCAGCCTTCTCGTCCGAGCCAGGAAACTCACAAATTTAAATGCCCCTCCTCCCCACCACCATTGCCCCCTCAGATCCCAGGGTGGGGCTGGGATTTGCTGAAGCAGAGAACAGCCCCCTACTTTGATAGAGACTCTCCGGGGAGCTGAGCAATGGTGGAAAACTTGCAGTCCACGCTCAGGCTGGCTAGGAGGCCGAAGGAATCTGGGTGAGGAGGGGCAATGAGGGAGTAGCCAGCAGGTGCCCGGGCCTCAAGGGCTGAGGCCACAGCTGTTAATGCCTTTGCCGGCCCGATGCCTCGATGCCTCGCGATGTCTTAGCTTCTCCCGCCACCCACCCCCACCCCCCGCTCCTCATATTTCTGCAGGCCTCAGGCCACAGCTGTGTGGCCACATCTTGCTCTCCCCCTCCCACAGGTGGTGGCTGCTCCTCTGGGGAGTCCTCCAGGCTTGCCCCACGCAGGGCTCCGTGCTCCTGGCCAAGCAGCTAGCCCAGCAGCTGACATCCCCGGGTTATCCAGAGCCATATGTCAAAGGCCAGGAGAGCAGCACTGACATTGAGGCTCCAGAGGGCTTCGCCGTGAGGCTTGTCTTCCAGGACTTTGACCTGGAGCCATCCCAGGACTGTGAGCAGGACTCTGTCACAGTGAGCTGTGGGGGGGTCCCAGGGGGACTCTGGGGAGGAAGCCTCCCAGCCTGGAGCCCAGAGGCAGGGGGACATGGCTGTGCCCTGAATGGCAAGGGATGGCTGAAGAGTCTGAGTCGGGGTACGGGCACCTTCCCTGGAGGCTAGGAGCTGCCCCAGGGCACAGGCTGCCACCAGCGGCCCATCCCTACCCGCGCTCTGGCATGGGCCCCACAGAGCAAGAGAGAGGGCAGCAGGGCAGGACATGCCTTCGGAAGTCATACAGAGGGACGCACAGACACTGCAACACCCTTGAGGAAAAGAGCAAGGACTCACACATCAGTCGTTCACATCCCATCAGACCAGGCAGCTGGGCGTAGATAATAACAGCAGATGAGGTGACTGGTCAAGTTACAGAATAAGAACACTTTAAACACAGCACTTTACCTTATCCTTTGGGTTAAATTTTATTCATATCGAACTAATACATGCACATAGTTGTTCTAAAAAATGAATATGGAATAAGGCTTATCGGGAAAACAGCTGTCTCCAGCCTCCTTCCCAGCCCCACTGCCCCTCCCGGGAAGCATGTAGCTGCTCCGTCTGGCATTTACTCCCATGGGTATAAATAGCATGCTTATTATGTTACTTTTTTGCATCTGATCACTTAATGTCTGAGTCTAGAAAATGAGAACTCGATTTCCCTCTCTTAGAACGTCACATTCCCCCACCCTCGTCCCTGTCTACCACTATTAGCATTTCTAGTTAATTCTATATTCATTTGCAATCTCATGACTAAAGTATTCACTTCAGGGGCGTCCGGGCGGCTCAGTCTGTTAAGCGGTTAAGCGTCCGACTTCAGCTCAGGTCGTGATCTCATAGTTTGTGAGTTCAAGCCCCGCATAGGGCGCTGCTGACAGCTTAGAGCCTGGAGCTGCTTCAGATTCTGTGTCTCCCTCTCTCTCTGCCCCTCCCCTGCTCACACTCTGTCTCTCAGCAATAAATAAATGTTTTAAAAAATCTTTTTAATTAAGAAAATAAACATTAAAAAGTTTTTAAATATTCACTTCCGAGCACGTGGTGTACCATAATTCTATGTCCTTGCTTCTCCAACTTTTTGGTCTCCCAGGAGTCGGTAGCCACATGGAATTTTAGGGGTTTTCTGTTTGTTTTCGTTTTGATTTTTAATTTGCTTAGTTCTGTCTGTAAGTAATCTCCCAGCCTCTTAGCCAGGATGGTAAATCTCCTCTCTACATAATGGGCATAATCAACTACAGATCTCAATCTCTAGTCCTCCTTTGTACTGGGGGCATCCCATCTGAAGCGCTCCTGATGGTCTATCTCCTCAGTCTAAGTTCCCTGCTCTCTAGGGCCTCATGAATCTGGGAGTTCCCTCTGCCTCCTTCTGGGTGGTTCCTTTCCCTGTCATGTGTTGGAACTGAATCCCGCGTCATTCTCTTTCTTGGTTTAGTCCCCCCACTTTGGAGGAGCACATTCTGCCCCAGAAAGGGCAAGAGAATACATTGTAAAGGATCATACATATCCCTGAATGTCCAGCTCTACCCTCACAGTTGATGGACAATTGATATGGGTTATATTCTGGGTTAGAAGTCATTTCCTCTCGAAATTTGGATACTCTTGTCTACTTGCTCTCGTGTTGTTAAGTCTGGTACAATTATGATTCCTGATCCTTAGTTCTTTCTCTCTAGAACTTTTGGGACATTTTCCTTATTGCCAGTATTCTATCTTTTCATTCTGATGAGCCTTGATGTGAGTCTTTCTCTACTCATTGTACAGGGTTTTCTAACCTAGAGGCTTTTTATTATTTTTATTTATATATGTGTTTGTTCGCTTTATTTATTTAGTGTCAGGGGCGGCAGGAAAGGGCAGAGGGACAGAGAGAACCTTAAGCAGGCTCCACACCCAGTGCGGAGCCCAATGCAGGGCTTGATCTCACAACCATGAGATCATGACCTGAGCCAAAATCAAGAGTCCGTTGCTTAACTGACTGAGCCACACAGGTACCCTTAATGTAGAGACTTTATTTTTCTTTGTAAATTTTTATTTATTTTTGAGAGAGAGAGAGAGAGACTGAGTGTGAATGGGGGAGGGCCAGAGAGAGAGAGAGGGAGACACATAATTCGAAGTGGGCTCCAGGCTCTGAGCTGTCAGCACAGAGCCTGATGCAGGGCTCAAACTCACAAACCAGGAGATCATGACCTGAGCTGAAGTCTGAGCTTAACTATCTGAGCTATATAGGTGCCCTCTAATGTAGAGCCTTTTTAAATCTAGTCCTTCAATTCTGGGAATGCTCTTGGTTTTTTTGTTTTGTTTTGTTTTGTTTTTAACTGAAGTATAGTTGTCATATAATGTTATCTTAGTTTCAATTGTGTAACATATTGAATACACGATTATATACATTGCTCAGTGCCTACCCCAATAAGTGTAGTCACCATACAATGCTATTATAACCTTATTGATTATTGATCATATTCCCTATGCTGTACTTTTCTTCTCCATCACTTATTCATTTTTCTAGGTTTCTGTTTAAATTCTAGTTAGTCAACATACAGTGTAATATTAATTTCAGGTGTACAACAGAGTGATTCAGCACTTCATACAATATACTTTGTGCTCATCACAAGTGCCCTCCTTAATCCCCATCACCTATTTCACCCCTCACCCCACCCACCACTCAGGTATTCTTTTTAAAATAAGTTCCAGAGGGGCGCCTGGGTGGCTTAGTCGGTTAAGCGTCCGACTTTCGCTTAGGTCATGATCTCGCGGTTTGTGGGTTCGAGCCCCGCGTCGGGCTCTGTGCTGACTGCCAGCTCAGAGCCTGGAGCCTGTTTCAGTCTGTGACTCCCTCTCTCTCTGACCCTCCCCTGCTCACGCTGTCTCTCTCTCTCTCCTAGAAATAAATAAAACATTTAAAAAAATAAATAAATAAGTTCCAGATGTCTGCTTTCTTTATTTTCTCCTTCTGGAACTCCTGTAATTGAGCCGTTATAAATTCTGGAGATTCTCTAATTTTGCTGATCCATTCTGTTCTGATTTCCATCTCTTTTTCTTTTTGTTCCACTTTCTGGGAGATTTCCTCATTTTAAATAACATTTTAATTAATTTGTTTTCTGCTGACATATTTTTTCTAAAAGCTCATTTTGTCTAAAACTCATTCTTTAAAACATGCCTTTTTATAGAATACTGTTCTTGTTTCATTGAGGCAAGATCTACTCCTTTCCTTCTACAGGGATTATTTTTAAACGTTCCTTCTGTTCCTTGTACTATCTCTGCTTCACCCAGGTTTGTTCTATTGTTCGTTTGTTTTGGTCTCTGCTTTCTTACAATATCTGATAATCCATGGCTGTCCATTCATATTCAAGAGTGAAGTATTAACTGGCACTGGATGCTCTGTGTGGGTAGCTAAAATTTGTACAGTGACAGGTTTGAACACAGAGTTATCAACAAGATGACCTATTTGTGCATTTGGGCGCCTCCCCGATATTAGCTTGTGGAAGTGTTTTCCTTGAAGACAGCCCATCTCAAATCAGAATCCTCTGGTCTCCGGCTCAGGGTTGCCGACATTCTGGCAAACAAGCCGAGAAGGGAATCTCGTTGTTTGATACATAGACTTCCACCTAATCCCTCTCCTTTTAGTTGTGGCCTTCACCTCCTCTGTCCAGTGTGCTGGGGGACCCCAAGTCCAGGGTTCCTAGCTCATGCTCAGGTCTTCTGCCAGGGTGAGCCAGAGAGAGTCGTCTGGATGCACAGGGTGGGCTAAGGGACCCAGAGTTCCGAGGTTCCCCCACATAGGCTTTCCGTCAGCCCTCCCCCCATCCTTATCCTCAGGGGCTCCTAGTTACCCCAATTTCTGAAACTTCCCTGGGTTCTGTGATGAGACTCTACCAGCTCTGTGTTGGCTTCCATCTTTGCAGACTTATTGCTGTTTGTCCATCTCCATTCCATCTTCCAAAGTGTTGACATCTCTTCATCTGCTGTCATATCCGCTCTCTTTTCTGTCCTTGATCACATATACCATTTTATCCCATTACTGCCCTATTGGTGGGATTTGGGGTGAGAAAGGAGATCAATGGATATGTTTATTGCTTCATATTTAACTGGCAGTCAGGGCTATACTTCATTCCATTCAGCCTTTATCCACTGAGCACCTCCGTTGAGCCCTGCTCCTCTCAGTCATGGACAGTTGTAATCTTGGCCTGACTCCTCCTTTGTCAGTATACTGGAGTATACTGGAGGGCTTTCCAGCTCAAGAATAGGACTCTTCCCTCCTCTCTGCGTCCAGAGTAAATCACATAGACCCCTCAAATGCAGAACTCAACACCCTGTAGTTCAGTTCGGTTTTCACTTGTGAGTGTACTCAGCCAGCCTGTGGGCACCTCGGTAGCAGAACTGTGTGTTCTTATCTATACCCCCCGCAGCTAGCACAGTGTGTCTTACACATAGAACATAGTCAATAACTCTTTATTAAAGGAATAAATGAGGGGCGCCTGGCTGGCTCAGTTGGTTGAGAGTCTAAGTCTTGATTTTGGCTCAGGTCATGATCCCATGGTTCATGAGATCGAGTCCCGCATCGGGCTCCATGCTGTCAGTGTGGAGCCTGCTTGGGATCCTCTCTCTCTTCCTCTCTGTGTCCCTCCCCAGCTCGTATTCTCTCTCTCAAAGTAAATAAATAAACTTAAAAAAATGAAGGAATGAACAAAAGAATGAGTGAACCCCAAGCTTCTGGAGCACATGCAACAAAATGAATTTTGAATGAGCAGGTGTTTGGTGTCATCCTCACCACAGCCCCACGTGCAGATACTAGAGAGCAGTCACAGGGCGTGACATTGTCCTGGCCAGAAGAGGCCTCCTCACAGGTCATTTTATAGGAGGTCTCACTTTATAGGAAGAAACTGAGAGCTGGGGTGGTTAAGAAACCCCCCACGTCACATGGGGAGTTGGGCAAAGTCTGGAATTTAACACAAGTCTGATGACTCTCAGTCGGGTGTTCATTCTGCATTGCCAGTTAGACTCTAAAGTGACTTTAGTTACCCAACAGCTCATAAGGAAGGGGAAGAAGAAAACCGGAGCATTTAACAACCAACTATGTCAGTAAAGGACTGTTTCCTAGGGTAAAATGCTTCTTCCCCAAGAGCTAAATCTCTTAAATACGGAACATTAATTTTGTTGATGTTCTAAGGACGGAAAAGTATTGGAACAAAACTTTCCTTTGTGCCAACTTCCATTCTGCTGCTGGACCATGAAGACATGGGCTGGATGGGGTCTTAAGGGAATTTGAGATTCGGGGACAATGAGGGAACAGAGAGCTAGCAAGAACTCAGGGTATGTGCGTCAATATGAAGGTTCAGAAATCAAATGAGAGGACCAGTGAGCTGTGCGCCCAGAACAGAGATGAGGCATGAAGCATGGGCGGGGGGACTCCTTCCAAGGTGCCCTTCCTTGGGTCGGGGAACCCACAGGAAGGGATTCAAGCAGGAGTGAGGCAGTCAGAAGGGACAGAAACAGACACAGCCAGCTTAAAGCATATATTCAGCAGCGATAGCCAGGGTGCACACGCTGTGTACATTCTGTGTCCACAGATTTCACACCTTCTCGGTGGCTGCATTTAAGTTTATGGTGTATTGGGGGAGGAACATTCCAAAGTAAGAAGAACAGGAAAGCTAGGAACCTGAGGGGCTCAGTCTTTGCAGAGGGTCTTATTGCCTCATAGATGTTGGTCACATGAAGTTATTCGAAATGGAAGGTGAAGGGGGGAAGGAAGCCAGATAGAAAGGACTTACATCTGTAATTTGTTGACTCAAGGCTGTGATGCCATATGTACCATTTGGAGCATCAGAGAGTCAGTGGTGAGCAAAATAGATGTAATTCCTGCCTTAGACTTTGTAATCCAGTGGACTGGAGAAATGCTGGGGTTCCCAAGGAGCTTCTTGAAAGTAGGTGACTATGGTGGGCTTTGAGGTAATTACCTAGGCTAAAGAAATACGCGAGGCATCTGGTCATGCATGAAACAACAGCAGTCAGTAATGGAACAGGGAGCTACTTGAGGAAATCTCCCTGAGGGACAGCTCCTGGGCCCCAGAGGTGTGCAGACCTTCTAGACTTCATGCCCAGGATGTGACTCTGTGGTGCAGATTCACCCCAAACCTGCCTGCCCACCCTCCCCTTTCAGATCACAGCCAGTGGGATGGATCCGAGCCGGTTCTGTGGGCAGCAGGGCTCCCCGCTGGGCAGCCCCCCTGGTCAGAGGGAGTTTGTGTCCCCTGGGACCCGATTGCGGCTGACTTTCCGAGCACCCGCCTCCTCTCAGGACAGGACCACCAGCCTCCACAGGGGCTTCCTGGCCTTCTACCAAGCTGTGGGTGAGTGTCCCCCCCAGGGGTGCAGCCTCTGCCCACAGCCATGGCCCCTGGTATCCTGAAGTGAGGGTGGAAACCTGAGTGACTGCTGAAGTGGGGAATCGGTGACCCCTCCCCACCCCAGCTGTGCCCCAATTGAAGGGGCAGCCGCTGCTCAGTTCCAGTACTTCTTTCCATGCAGACCTCTGGGCCAAAGGCTTGCAGATCACCTCATCCTTCAAGAGAAGACAAAAATTCCAGATTTGTTTTTAATGTTTATTTTTTAAGGAGTGAGACACAGAGCACCAGCAGGGGAGGGGCAGAGAGAGCGGGAGACACAGAATCTGAAGCAGGCTCCAGGCTCCAAGCTGTCAGTGTAGAGCCCGACGTGGGGCTCGAACTCATGAGCCATGAGATCATGACCTGAGCTGAAGTTGGACGCTTAACCAACTGAGCCACCCAGATGCCCCCAAAATTCCAGATTTTTAAGTGAAATTCTGGATTTTCAAATGGTAACTCAGATTTTGTGGAAAGATGATGCATGCACACAATGAATTTTTTAAATAACATAACATGGTAAATAAAAATAATATAATACGGTAATAATGTAAGAAGTAAGTCTTCCTCAGATCTCTGGCCCTTAGTCCCTGGCTACCCTGTCCAGAAACAACCCTTTGTCCACTTTCCGGATATCCTTTCGAAGACATCTATGCCATTCAATTATACATATTCTTGCAGGGAAGGATTGCCTAATACAACGTCTTAAATTTAGTATTTATCACACAATAATATGTCTTAAAGATCATCCCATGTACATGTGGTTAGCATTGCCTAATTCTTTTTAATGACCATTTGATTGATGCACCCAATGTATTTAATCAGCCTTCCACTGATACTTTGCTGCCACAAACATTGCTGCTAAGGGTACCCTTGTTTATACATCTTTGAGCACGAGTAAAAGGGTAAATTCTTAGAAGTGGACATGTTGGGTGAAAAAACATTTGCAATTTAAATCTTAGTATTGCTAGGGGCGCCTGGGTCGCTCAGTCCGGCTAAACGTCCAACTTCAGCTCAGGTCATGATCTCACAGCTCATGAGTTTGAGCCTCATGTCGGGCTCTACGCTGACAGCTTGGAGCCTGGAGCCTGCTTTGGATTCTGTGTCTCTCTCTTTCTCTGTCCTTCTCCCACTCATGCTCTGACTCTCTCTCTCACAAATAAATAAACACTAAAAATTTTTTTTAAATAAATCTTGGTATTGCTAAATTTCCCTCCAAAGAAGCCCTGCTAATATATACTGACCAGTGATGTCTGAAACTGCCTGTTTCCCTATACCTTGTTTACCATGGTTACTTTCAAATTTTTTATCTTTTTTTAATGTTTATTTATTTTTGAGAGAGATAGACGGAGCATGAGCAGGGGAGCAGGAGGGGCAGAGAGAGGGAGACATAGAATCGCAAGCAGACTCCAGGCTCCGAGCTGTCAGCAGGCAGAGCCCGACGCAGGGTTGAGATCATGACCTGAGCTTACGTCAGCCACCCAACCGACGGAGCCACACAGATGCCCCTATCATTTTTTACCATTAATAATCTGATCGGTGAAAAATAATTCAAATGTTCTAAAAAAAATTTTTTTAGCGTTTATTTTCAAGAGAGAGAGGGGGAGATGGAATGCAAGCAGGGGAGGGGCAGAAGAAGAGAGGGAGACACAGAATCTGAAGCAGGCTCCAGGCTCTGAGCTGTCAGCACAGAACCCGACATGGGGCTCAAACTCAACGAACCACGAGATCATGACCTGAGCCGAAGTCGGACGCATAACCGACTGAGCCACCCAGGCGCCCCATTTCAAATGGTCTAAATAAAAGATTGTGCAAGTCAAACTAAATATGGCCGTGGGCCAGAATCGGGTTGCCAGTTCTAGGTCCTCATGGCCACTCTTTTCCTACAGACGTGAACCACAGGTGGCCAGGTGGGGGCCCTGAGGCCATCAGCACAGCTGGAGACAGCGCCTCAGAGACTCAGAGCCACCGCCAGGAGCCCTACTATCAGGCAGTGCCACCAGGTTAGCCCCCACCTGCTGGGGAATCAGCTCCTACTGGCCTCACTCCCCCCAAGAGGCTGGAGGCCTTCTGGGCATCTGCCACCCACCTCCCAATTCTGAGCCCGTTCCTTTGCCTCCCTTCACTTCCCTCCTCAGGGATGCTCACCTGCAGAAGCCAGGGTCCCCAGAAGGAGACACAGGACGTGGACGATCTTCCTCACTGTGAACCTGGTGAGTAGAGACCTGCCCATCCTGTGGCCACTTCCCAAAGAAGCCTCGCTGTGCACGGCGCCTGTGGGAGCAGGACACGGGGGTAGGAAGGGAGAGAAAAGGGCAGAAGGTGCAGAGGAAAAGGGAGAGGCAAGGGTCTTGTCCCTTATTCTTCAGGATCAAGAGATAACTGAGAGAGGAGGGGCACCTGGGGGACTCAGTCGGTTGGGCGTCCGACTTCAGCTCAGGTCATGATCTCATGGTTCGTGGGTTCGAGCCCCGCGTCGGGCTCTGTGCTGACAGCTCAGAGCCTGGAGCCTGCTTTGGATTCTGTGTCTCCCTCTCTCTCTGACCCTCCCCTGCTCACGCTCTCTCTCTCAGAAATAAACAAAACATTTTAGAAAATTAAAAAAAAAAGAAAATGATACATTTACATCCAGTTGTCAAACCATGGCTTGATAGAGACTTTCTCCCATTACTCTCTGACAGCTCACCTCCCCCACCATTATTTTTATTTCTTTCCATGTACTGTTTCAAGGTGGTATTCAATGGTGTTCCTCTATTGTCTGCAGAGCAGTCAGAGCATTCAGTGAAGANGTTCGAGCCCCGCGTCGGGCTCTGTGCTGACAGCTCAGAGCCTGGAGCCTGCTTTGGATTCTGTGTCTCCCTCTCTCTCTGCCCCTCCCCTGCTCCCACTCTGACTCTGTCTCTCTTTCTCTCAAAAAGAAATAAAACATTAAAAACTTATCAACAACAACAAAAGAGATAACTGAGAAAGGAAAAGCATGAAGGAAGTTCATCAGACGGGACAACGCAGGAGAAGAGGGGTCAAGAGAGTGGAAATAAGGGAAACCTCTCTCCGGATGGTCTGCTTTCAGCCTACATAGACAGGCTTTCTGTCCCCAAAGTAGCTCCCTACCTAGAAGACAACAGTGCCAGAAAGGTCACCATTTTTTTAAAAGACTTTTTATTAACATAAAATTTATGTACTGTAAAATTCACCATCTTAACCATTTTAAAATGTACAGTGCAGTAATTTTTAATACGTTCACAAGGTCCTGCCACCATATTCCCACTAATTCCAGAACTTTTCCATCCCCCCAAAAAGAAACCCCATACCTCCCTGTCCCCATCCCTTAGCAACCACTAATCTACTCTCTGTCTCTATGGATTTGCCTGTTCTGAACATTTTCTATAACAGGAGTCACACAGTATGTGGTCTTTTGTGTCTGGCTTCCTTTTTTTTTTTTTTTTAATGTTTATTTATGAGAGACAGAGCGCAAGCAGGGGAAGGGAAGAGAGAGGGAAACACAGAATTGGAAGCAGGCTCCAGGCTCTGAGCTGTCAGCACAGAGCCTGATGCAGGGCTCAAACCCACAAACCATGAGATCATGACCTGAGCCGAAGTCAAATGCTTCACCGACTGAGCCACCCAGGTACCCCTGTGTCTGGCTTCTTTTACTCAGCATCATGTTTTCAAGGTTCATCCATGTTGTAACAGGCATCGGGATTCCATTCCTTTCGGTGGAATGGGAGTCCGTTGTCGTATGAATATACCACCTTTTTGTTCACCTGTGCATCAAATCAACGACATTTGGGCTGTTTCCACATTTTGCCTTTTACGGATAATGCTGCTATGAGCATTCGTGTGCAAGTTTCTGAGTGAACATCTGTTTTCTGTTCCCTTGGGCATATCCCTGGGAGTGGAATTGCTAGGTCCCATCATACTTGTATGTTTAACTTGTTGAGGACTTGCCAGACTGTTTTATGCTGTGGCTGCATCGTTTTACATTCCCACCAGCAATATACAAGGGTTCAAGTTCACTGGTTTTTGAAACCCACTTTTTTGAGTCGTAGCCTTGCCTTTCTCACCCAATCTGAATAAACTGGTCAGATTTCACTCCTGACCCTCAGAAAGTTCTTGGGCCAGCCTGAGGCAGTGTTTTGGGGGCGGGTGGGAGGGCACGTAATAGTGGAAGATGTTAAAAATGACGGAAGGGCCCAGAAAACAAAGGACACTTTGGACAAACTCTGCTTGCTGCATGATTTGGCTCAGGCTGGCTCCATTAAGAGTCTAAAGAAGTGGATTTAAAATGGCTAAGGGTAGGGGGAACCTGGGTGGCTCAGTCGGTTAAGCGTCCGACTTGGGCTCAGGTCATGATCTCATGGCTGGCGAGTTCAAGCCCCATGTCAGGCTCTGTGCTGACCATTTGGAGCCTGGAGACTGTTTCCCATTCTATGTCTTCCTTTCTCTCTGCCCCTCCCCCACTTGCACTCTGTCTCTCAAAAAGACTAATAAAACACACACAAAAGAAAAAAATTTTAATAGAAAATAAAAATAAATAAATAAATAAATGAATAAAATGGCTGAGGAATGGCTGAAACAGGTGAAGGGGGTCAAGAGCACATTTACCGTGATGCGCACACCTACCGTGATGCGCACACCTACCGTGATGCGCACACTGACCGTCATGCGTGTAGACTTGTTGGATCACTATATTGTACACATGAAACTAATCACACTGGAATTAAAACTTTTAATCCCATTATTAAGGTAGAATAAATAAGAGTGATTTTATTTTAGAGAAAGACAACAGAGGAGAGGGGCAGAGGGGAGAGAGAATCCTAAGCAGGCCCCACACTGAGCGTGGAGCCCGACCCGGGGCTCAATCCCGGTGACTCTGGGATCATGACCTGAGCCCAAATCAAGAGTGAGAGGCTCGGCCAACGGAGCCACCCAGGCGCCCCAAGGGTGATTTTGTTTTAAATGTCTGTGGAGACAGGAGAGAGCACTTCACAGAAGCAGGCCTTTAACAAAGCCATCTGGAAGCAGCGGCTAATGTCACCTGTGCCCCTCTTCCCTCCCAGTCTGTGGCCGGCCGCTCACGCCCATCGCCCAGAACCAGGAGGCCCTCGGTTCCTCCAAAGCCAAGCCGGGCAACTTCCCCTGGCAAGCGCTCACCAGCATCCACGGCCGCGGAGGGGGGGCCCTGCTGGGCGACAGGTGGATCCTCACGGCTGCCCACACCGTCTATCCCAAGGACGCCGTCTTGCCCTGGAAGAAGCGGAGCGTGCGTGTGTTCCTGGGCCACACAAGCATAGACGAGATGCTGAGGCTGGGAAGCCACCCTGTGCGCCGCGTGGTCGTGCACCCCGACTACCGCCAGAACGAGCCCCACAACTTCGATGGGGACATCGCTCTCCTGGAGCTCCACCACCGCGTCCCCCTCGGCCCCAGCCTCCGCCCCGTCTGTCTGCCCGACAACGAGTCCCTCTACAGCAGCGGCGTGTTGGGCTACGTCAGTGGGTTCGGCGTGGACAGGGGCTGGTTGACCACCGAGCTGAAGTACTCCCGGCTGCCCGTCGCCCCGAGGGCGGCCTGCCAGGCCTGGCTGCGAGAGCAGCAGAGGTCGGAGGTGTTTTCTGACAACATGTTCTGTGCTGGGGACAGGGCGAGGCAGCAGGGTGTCTGCCAGGGGGACAGTGGCGGTGCCTACGTGGTATGGGATGAGCGTGCCCATCACTGGGTGGCCACGGGCATCGTATCCTGGGGCGTCGGGTGTGGCGAGGGTTATGGCTTCTACACCAAAGTGCTCAACTACCTGGACTGGATCAAGGGAGTGATGGAGGGAAAGGACTGACCCTAGGGGCGCCTGAGCAGTGACGCTCAACTATGGAGGCCCCCAAAAAAAGCAGAAGGTTAGGAGCTCAGACTGGGCTCAGGATTGGAGATGGGGGCAGGGAATCCCTATTCAAGGATCGCTGCCCTATCCCTCATGTGAGAGAACTCTTCCTTCCACCAGCGCCCCCCTCCTCCTCTTCTACCTTTTTTCTAGTTGGCCAGTTTGTGCTCCCCCCAGGGAAGTGCTGTACATCTCAGCCAGTTGCCCTTAAACTTCATCTTCTGGGTGCCTGGGTGGCTCAGTCATTAAGTATTTGACTTAGGCTTTGGTCATGATCTCACAATTCATGGGTTCGAGTCCCACATTGGTTGAGCTTGAGCCCCACTTTCTCCCTCCCTCTCTTTCTCTCTTTTTCTCTGTCTGCCCCTCCCGGGATTCTCTCTCTTTCTCTCTCTGCCCCCTCACGCACTTGAGCCCTCTCTCTCCCTCTCAAAAAATAAAATAAAATAGAGGCACCTTGGTGGCTCAGTGGGTTAAGCGTCCAACTTTGGCTCAGGGCATGATCTCATTGTTCATGAGTTCAAGCCCTGCATCGGGTTCTGTGCTGACAGCTCAGAGCCTGGAGCCTGCTTCAGATTCTGTATCTCCCTCTCTCTGCCCCTCACCTGCTCTCTCTCTCTCTCTCAAAAATAAATAAGAGCATTAAAATTTTTTTTTCAATAAATACATAATAAACTTCATCTTCTGCTGACATGGCTTCTTCTGTCCTCTCCTGGGATACTGTCACCTTCTCATCCCCCTGTTCGAGTGGAATATGAGGAATGTGGTCTTAATTGCTTTCATTTCTGAAACGTTCTAAAGCCCCTTTCACTGCCCTTCCCACATTCAAAGTATCGGCTTCATCCCTCACCCTATATCCTAGCTGCAATCATCGTAGTGAAGAGTTCATTTTATTTGACATCTTCTGCACACTAGGTGCTTCCCATCGGCTCCTCACACCAAGTTTGCAACGGATGTGTTATGATCCACATTTCACAAATCAGGAAACTGAAGCCCAGGGAGAGAAAGTGGCCTGCCCCAAACCCACAGCTCCTAGGGGACAGGAAAGGTCATGTGCTTTCTGGAACACCATACCCCTTGATTGTCCTCAAGACTCCCACACTTCCCCTTCCCAATCCCCACATCCCTTACAGGCCCCCCTGGGAATTCCTGCTTTGGGGGAGATGACATCACTCGGCTCACACTCTCCTGCAGGCACCAAGCTGAGCCCAGCACCAGGCTGGATGTTTCTGCAGACACCCTCCAGTTCCGTGGGCCCCCCCTGGTCTGGGGTCTTTAATTTGTAGTAAGGACTCACGGTGATTTACAGTGAAAGACACAAGTAAAATACAGTTGTTCAGACGGAAATAGGAAATTAATGCCATTAAACAGAAGAGAGCAAATTTGCTAACATTGAAGGTCAAGTTAGCTATAAGGTTAAAGGTTAAATTGATCTTTGAAAAACAGCAGGATTCAAAGTTGTACATACATGTGCTTGCTTTGATTTTTTTAAACCTATGGTATAAAAGACTAGTGACAATTAAAAAATTAAAAAATTAAAAAATTAAAATTAAAAAAATTAAAAAATTAAAAAAAATTAAAATTAAAATTAAAAAAATTAAAAAATAAATTAAATTTTAAATTTTAAAAATTTTAAAAATTAAAAAATTTAAAAAATTTAAAAAATACCCAAAATTTTAAAAATTAATATTAATTTATTAATAATAAATTATTATTTATTATTATTATAAAAATATAAATAATAAATTATTATTTATTATTATTATTTAAAAAAATACCCAAAAATACGAACAGAAGTTGTGGTAGGTGGTGTTATTTGGGCTGTTTGGTTTTCCCCTATTCTTTTGTGTTTGCTAAACTTTGCTAAATTTTATTTAATGAGCATATCTTAGTTTTATTTTGCTTATTTTTATTATTGACAAAATGAGGGGCACCTGGGTGGCTCAGGCAGTTGAGCATCCGACTTCAGCTCAGGTCGTGATCTCACAGTTCATGAGTTTGAGCCCCGCGTCGGGCTTGCCACTGTCAGTACAGAACCTCCCCCAGCTCCTCTGTCCCTTACCCTGTCTCTCCCCCACCCACGCTCTCTGTCTCTCAAAAATAAGAAAAAAAAATTTTAAGATTAAAAAACTGATGTTTCTCCCTGCCAAAGCAAAAATTATATACTTATATCTATATAGATCTATCTAGATACAGATATATCCATAGAAGGAAACTTACCATAACTTTAAGAGAGAAACTTCTTCCCCCAGATTCAAATCCTAAGAGGAATGAAAAATAAAATAGACAATGTCTTCAATACCAGTTTTTAAGCCAGTGCAGAAGCAGTCTTCTTATGGCTGTTTCTTTCTACCCTTGGTGTAAGTCAAGGGTATACAACAAATGCGCAAGGAAAGTTTCCTTTCAGTGGCCGGGCAGCGGGGAGGGGAGGCAGGGGCTGAATGATGTGGCCCAGGTTTGTCGTATTCCAGGCCTGTCGTATGTATCAGGACAGAGCTCAGAGTCCCCGGGATGGATGGGAGAGCTTCAGCCAGGACCTGTCCTCTTCCATCACTGCTCCTTAACCCATAACCTCTGCCTGCACTGTGAACACAACACAACACAACGCACATGCACATACACTGTCAGAATGCTAATGTGCAATTTGCTCAACAAGATTCCTCGTCTTGTCTCCTGATCTGGTCCTTATCCTTCTCCTCTATTTTTTACCTTTGCTAACCTGACAAGGCCACAGTCATGTCCAGCATTGAGTTGTGGATCAGCCCCGCCCGCCGTCAGGTTCATTCCACAGCCCTGATGCATGGACCTGCCGGAGGAACCCTACACACCTCGGTTGGCCTTGCATCTTCCCAGTGCCTTCTCTCTAACTACATTCGGTGAGGACTTGGTCCCTGCCTAATGGGACACGGCTCCATCTCTGTGAGTCCTTGCTATCCATCGCCTGGGCAAGTGCCCAGCACATGAAACAGGTAGTCCGTACGTGGATGAATGAGTGGGTAGGTGGGTGGAGGGATGGGGGGATTAATCTCACTGGAGAAACAAGCAGGGTAGACTACAAAGGCCTGAGGACTCAGAAGCCTGCTCGCCCATGCCTCCCTATAGCATGTGGTGCCACGGGGTATCTGACCGTGCAGCATTGAGAGAGAGAGGCTTCCACAGAGGGCAGACTTTTAACTTAGGAGACTGTGCCCTGGAGCACAGGAAGACAAGAGCCCCGTTGCCTCCCAGGGGCCTGGCTTTCTCTCAGAAAAGACCAAGTCATTGTTGGTCCACAGTCACACTGCTTAGCCCTAGGCAGCCATGATTCTCAGGGGCTCAGACACGACCAGATGCCCAGGAGAAGAGAGGTCTGTACCCCTGCCCAGCTTCCCTTGCCTCTCTACAAGCCAACTTCACTAGCAGGCCTGAGCTCATTGAAGCAGGAAGAAGCATCTTAAAACAGCCCCTAATGGGGCGCCTGGGTGCCTCAGTCGGTTAAGCGTCTGACTTTGGCTCAGGTCACGATCTCACGGTTCGGGCTCTGTGCTGACAGCTAGCTCAGAACCTGGAGCCTGTCTTCGGATTCTTTATCTCTCTCTCTCTCTTTCTCTCTCTCTCTCTCTCTGACCCTCCCCTGCTCATGCTGTCTCTCTCTGACTCTCAAAAATGAATAAAAAAAAATAAAGAAAAAAAAACCCAGCCCCTAGTACCTCTGTAGGGTCACCCTGACACATCCTGTTCCGTGTTTACGTGTCATTCAAGGATGAGGTAGGCAGGGGCCCCAATGCAACCAAACTCCATTCTCTTCTGTCGCCTCCTGCAATGCCCTCTTCCACCTCATTGTTCTGGACATTAAAACCCTGGCCATTCCTGGACCAGGCCTGTTGGGTGACCAAGGGCAAGACGAACCGGATTAACGGAACAGGCCGATGCAGGGAAGAGTCCCCCTCACGATGTCCACTGCCTTTGCTGTAGGAACTTGTAAAGGCAACAGCAGTCCCTGAAGAAAGGGAACATTCAGACCAGATTTAGAAACCGAGAAGTCTGGGCTTCCAAACCAAAGGCTGTCCTCCGCTGGAGAAGCCCAGGCTCATCTCCCTAGCCCTTCCCCATGTGGGCCAGCAGGTGGCACCACCATCAGGGATTTCAAAACCAAAACTACACTAAACTGGAAACAGATTTTTTTTTCATTTTGTTTATGCAAATAGTTCATTCGCTACAACATTTCTCCGGGAATGGTTCCCCCCCCTTCCCCTCCACCCTCATTCCCTCCCCCTTCTATCCTCTGCATGACCGCTGTCTCCCTCGACACAGAGTGGATGAAGACGCCGTCAGGAGAGTCGAGATCCAAAAACAGGCCTTGAGAAATGTGAGTAAGGCTTGATGGGGACCCAGGGAGGGAGGGAGGGAGGGAGAGGCCAGAAGAGAGAATCTGGGGCAAACCTGCTCCCAGATTTATTCAAGGAGACAGGAACACCCTTCCCCTCCCCATATACCTTACCTGTTGCGGTACACATACGCATGCACACACAAACGCATACGCTCCATCCCTCCTCCTGAGGACAAAAGGAGACCTTAGACACATGAGGTGATGGCCACGTTCCCTTCTTCCCCCTAGCTCATAGCAGGGGAGCAGCAAGATAGGGAGACCCACTCTGCCCAAGAGGGGTACCCTCTGTGTGCGACTCCATATTCTCTAGGCCGTTTCTCCCAGAGGCCTTTGCTGGCCCTTGGGAGCCCTATTAAAGAACCATGACTGGAAACCCTCAATTAACTGGTCCCAGGCCAGTCTTATTCCAGGAAGGGGAGGAAAGTGTGGCGGGAGGGCAGGGAGTATGATGAACCTTTGGACTGGACACTGCCCGGGGGAGGAATACCCAATGCGGCAGCTCAGAGACCAGCCTCTGCTCTTCACCCACCCCCACCAAGAACGTCTCTGTGAGGTCTAGAATGGCCAGAGCGGAAAATGCCGAGCGGTACGACCATCCCAACCTCCACCCCAGTCACTGTCGAAATGGCAAGGGTGCTGCACCCCTCCAGCCCTACAGACACCCACTTTCTTTTCGGCAGGTGGCTCTTATACCTCCTGGTGCCGATCCTGTTCTGCAGGGTGGGAAGCTCCATCCACATTTCTCAGAAGCTCTTTGGGGAGGTGACTTCTCCTCTGTACCCCAAGCCTTACCCCAACAACTTTGAGACAACCACTGTGATCACAGTGCCCACAGGATTCAGGGTGAAGCTCGTCTTCTGGCAGTTTGACCTGGAGCCTTCTGAAGGCTGTTTCTATGACTATGTCAAGGTAGGGGATCTGTTTGG